TCACCGTCTAAATCCTAAGTTTTTTTTTTGGTAATCTATCTAAATCCTAAGTTACTATCCTATCCAAACTCACTACACACCTATTATTATAATTTAAAAACATAAAACAGAAATGTTTTTCCTATGTTGTTGGAGATAAATTATCTTATGTTAGTGAAATAAAATTATAAAAGAGACCACAAATAATTGAAAAGATAAAAAATAGAGGTGAGACCCACCTTTGTTATATGTGTGTAGGAATTTAGTTTATCTTATATTGAATGAGATAAATATAACCCAACATAAAAAACAATTTAGAAAACTTATGATAGAGCTCTAAGAGATTAAAATCCAAAAAATGAATTTAGAGAGAAGTTATATATATATATATATATATATATATATATATATATATATATATATATATCTCACTGTAAATTTTAATTGAAATGGATGGTCTTCAATGACCTTATAAGAAAGTGGCTGTAACACCCCGTGTATACCCGATTTGTTAACATATCATCGTATTAAGCTGCGCTTAATTAAAAAAAATGTGGAATATCTTTTTCTTTTCAATTATGACATCATTATACTTAGCCAAGTTGATTACTTCATCAATTTCATAAAATATCGCCTGTATGTAAATTGCAAAAAGACATCTAACTGGAATACTTCATATATATAGATAAAGTGAGTATCTAAGTCACGACATTACAACACGTAATCCGGACAATATCCTGATACATTATTACAACTCCAAATAAATCAAGACATAATCGAGTCTCTGTGGCATGGACAATCTCCATGCTCACCAAATCAACAACATAACCACAGAGTCTCAACAGAGGAATCCATAAACTGAATCTAAACGCATAAGACAGTAAATAGGATCCAACATCCAATCATAACAGCATATCAGCATAAGCAGCATAAACATGTAACATCTATCAGCTAAGCTCGATCTGGCCTCCTGCCCTAGAGGTCTCAACCCCCGATTACCTGAACATGAAATAAGCATTCCCCAAACGTGGGGTGAGATCTCTAAACCAGAAATCTCAGTAAGACAAGGGGTCCTCAAGGATCTTCCACCCCAAGCTCACTTACATGTGCAATATAAGTTCTAAAAGCAGTAACTCAGTATAAGTTCAAAAACTCAATGCAGTGCAACAGATATTCATGCCATGTGTGTTTAAACTATTATATTGGCCAGAGAAATGCAGGAATACGTCTATTACCTACATATAGTACAAGGAACACCGTTTGCACCTCACCCACAGTCTCACCATATCGTATGTACTACATACTCAGGCTTACCGTATAGGTGGAACACCACATGCATATCATAAAGGCACTAGCATATAACAGCTCAACAGCATTTCCAAAACATCAAAAGCATGTAACACAGCATGCATATAACCATACCCCCATGGGACATGGTGGAACCATAACATGGCTAAACCGAGGACACGAAAGCTTACCTTGCAAGCTCACTATCCAATGCCAAGAGTCCATACAGCTCAAGTTCAACACACAGCAGATCTCAATCTGATTCGGACCAGCAAGCATATCAACAACAAAGCTCAAAAGCATAAACATAAAGACTACGTTTTTCCTTTTACGATTTATGTCTTAGGGCTTCACACAAAGCCATAAGCCCTTAACCACTTGATTCTGACTTAGTGTAATTAAAACAGAAGTTCAACTTCATCACTCTAGGGTCCACAAACCCCCAATAGCCTACTGTATGAACAGTGCAGCTACTGTTCTTTGAAATCCCATAATATCTGGATACATGTCGGGGGCATATCCGGATATCCAGATCCCCATATCCGGATATCAATATTCGGATACCATATCCGGATATTTCGCGACAGAATGCAGTTTCTGCATTTCGCGAAGATATCTTTCCAAGGTACCATTTTTAACACTTTAAAACGTCAAAGCATGCATCTTTAATCTGCTTTAAGTCCACATACCAGTTGGTTACTTGTTTAACCCATTTACATGTAAAGACACCACCTTTAAACCATTAAAACTCATGATCAAGGTTAGGCAACTTACCCAAAGCTCAAAACAGCCAACCAAAGGTGCTCTTGGAGCTCACCAACAGCTCCTCAAACTCAGACCAAGAAGGAGTACGAAAATGGACCAACAAAGTTTGGTTCTTGACACCAAAGGTCACTCCTTGGAGCTTCCACACTTAAGGAAATGATGCTCACTATAATAGCCCTATCCTAATTAATTAGTAAATTAAATGTGATTAAATAATTAAGCATGTATTAGTGAGTAAGATTAGGTATATGACCTAATTAAGTGAATTGGGGTCACTTCTGAGGTAAAAAGTGCACTCAGTGAAGATTAAGGGGTATAAATGGGTGCCGGCAAAAGTACCCAAAATATAAAAATGAAAGTGGAAATATTCCTAGAAAAATATTTCAGACTTTTGGGTAAAGTTTGGTAGTGAATGGAGTTGAATAGATAAATGAACTAATACCCACTTGATTCCACTTAACCATGATTAAGTGACTAGGCAATAAAAAGAACCCATTTTCCCTCCCCACCCGTTAAGCGCCAGAAAAGAAAGAAAGAAAGGAGGAGAGGAAGAAGGAGGGAAGGAGAAGAAAAGAAAGAGAAGGGGGAAAACCCTAGAGTGTGCAATCCTTGACCATTTTGAGTGATTCCAAAGCCTAACCCACTCCAAATCTTCCCCTCTTTCACAATCAAAGCTTGGTTTTGAGTGGGAGTCTTTGTGGAGTGAGATTTCAACCTCCAAAAATCTGACCCCTAGGTAGAGTTGAGGGATTTGTCGGCTTCTACCTCCATGGAAGCTTGAGGAACAACCATTCCTTGTTGTGTGATCCATTGTGGTGAGTTTTTCACTCTCTTTCACACAAATTCCTTGAGTTTTACATGATTAAGGTTTTGATGAATAGTGTTTTGGAGTTTTATGATAATGTGAGTTGATTGGTTATGTTCTAGGAGGATTGAGACTTAGTATATGTTATGAAAAATGCTAGGAATGACATTTAATCGGTGAAAATGAGCTTAGATAGTCATTGGTTATGCTTTAAAAATTGCAAGGTTTAATGCTTGATGTTGGACTTTCATGCATTAGAAATCAATGGTTTGGTTTGGTTGAATATTGATTGTGTCCATGTTATGTTTAAGATTGAAGCATTTGGACCAACCTTGAGTGACCAACCATTGGAGCAAGCTATGGAGCTTGATTAGCTCTATGGAATAGGTGTGTACTTTGCAAGTTATAATTGAAATCAAAGTTGACTGGTTGTAGAACCTGTTGGTGGTGCGCGAAGGTTGAATTGAAGCTTTGAGGTGAGCCTTTGGACCTTGGGTGTAATTCCCTTGATTTTTCCACCAAGCCCTGAATGGGTAGTGGTTGTGTTAGTGTATATAAATGCAATGAAATAGTTTAATGCTTTGTTATACGTATGTGTATGCTTTTGGTGTGGCATAGGATGGTGTTTCCCTATGTTGGTATGTTGCATGACGATGCGTAAATCATACTTAGTAGTTTAGCTGGCCAGTAAGACTATTTGCATCTGAGTATCCTTAGGACAGCTTGAGAGCTCGAGGGATTTATCCGGAGATGTTGTTTACACACTGCATGGATATGTATTTATTGCATTATTATTGTTAGTGCTATTACACTGATATTGAACTATGGGGTGGAGAGATGCTCCAAGGACCCATAGTTTACTTTGATATATTCGTATATCTCACCCCGTGTTGTGGGGACCTCCTTTCAGGAAAGGATGCTGCAGGAGCCTCCAGTGGCAAGTGGCCATATTTGGATTAGTGGATGCATGAAGATGTTGCATTTTTTTTTGGGATTACATATGACATGTAGAAATACCATGTATAGGATCTATATTTGAAAGCAAATTGTTATATGTATACCATGCTTTATTGGATGGATTTAGCCTATGCTCACTTCTTTTGGTGCCTATTTTGTTGTTGAAAGCCAAAGGAGTGATCATAGTTCTTTTTGTAGCTAAGACTCATGAATTGTAATTAAGACATGTTGAAAGGTTGTAATTAATGGAGATATATGTATGATAAAATGGTATGCATTTTCTCTTGTGTATGAGTACTTTGAAAGACTAGAATTCATGTATTGAAAGAATCATATGATGGTCAATTAGGTGAAAGGAGGCCTCTAAGTGGAAAATCCAAGTAGAAGTAAAGATATCCCGTCTTATTGTCCAATTTTCGTATTTTATATGATAGATTTGGACCCTTTTGTCTCAATGGAAGTTGTAGATATTTCTCTTAACTTTCCATAGAGACCAAGATTGGGTAATTTGGATGAGTACAACTCAAGTTATGGGTAGAATACCATAGGAGGTCAAATTGTCCTGTTTTGGGTGCTTGCTCCAGAACTGCCACGCTCTGAGCGTGAGATTCACGCTCTAAGCGACAACCTTTCTGTTTTCCCACGCTATGGGTGTGGAACCCACTCTATGGGCGTGGGGGTCCTGGGAATTTTGCACCCTTTTCTTAGAAAATGCGTAACTTGGGCTACGGTGCTCCGATTTAAGCGCGATTTGAATCCACGCGTAACTAATGAAAAGTCCTATAATATGTTGAACAAATGGAGACCATAAGAGTAGAATAGGAATTTCTTAAATAAATAAAGGGTGGATGCGTTTAGATTCTAAAAGCAATAAAAGTGAGACCTATAGTAGTAATTCCACATGTAGTTAAGTTACATTCACCTTATGGGAATTGTTTTAAGTCTGGAATTGATTTAATCAAAAGCGTTTATAAATAAAAAGGAAAAAGTTTATCCGTACTTTAATTCAATTTGGTGTTTGTAACTGTGCTTAATGCCGTACGTAATGATAACAAATCGGTTCTAGAACGGGGTGTTACACTCACCACAAGGTTCACCAAACTCAGCCTCTCAACCCCTCACAAACAGCCTCTACACTCAGAAACACAAGGCTTTCCTCTTACACAAGTCTCAACCACACCCAACCATAGTGTTTAGATGAAGAGAAATGGAAGAAAAGGCTTCAAGCTCACCAAATGAAGCAAGTAGGCAATGGAACAGTAACAAGAAGCTGACCAGCCATCCAACTCACGTAGGAAGAGAGAGAGTCTAGGGTTTTGTGCCCAACATAAGTGTATATATAACCACTTAACCATAAAATACACAGTATTAACTTTAATTGCTACGCTTAGCATTTTAATCCCAAACTTTGGATTCTTAACCTACTCAATTTTACAAGAATTATCATATATTTTTTTTATTTTTCGGAGCACTTTTTCGGTACGCGTTTTTCATAGCCAGTATCAGTTTCTGGCACCAGTTCTCATTATTTTAACTTGAAACTCGTTTTACAAGTCCTATACATTATTTTAGGAATTATCATTCACTTATTATAATTTTACGGGATACTTTTTCGGTACGCATTTATATCGACTAGCAGAACCGGTATCTGCACTTTTCTTCCGAAAAACGATTTTCAGCACTCTTAATCACTTATTATAATTATTAGAGCCTCATAATAATTATTAGGGTCAATTATAGAATTATTTCCTAATTCTCATATATAATTAATTAATTTCTTTAATTAACGGTGCAGGTTCTTACAGTGCCATTCCCCTAATCTAAACCTCCATACCAAAGCTGTGACTTAGGTTTTGAATCTCTAAAATAATAAAAATTAATTTTATTTACAAATAAGTTTTAATAAAAATTTATTTAAAATGGTAATGATTTAAAATTTTATTACGAAATTGTAATTATGCAATATATATTTGATAACTTCAATTTAAATTCTTTTTTAAACAAGATTTTAAATGATTTAATTGATTTCTTTTCAACTCTAATTAACTTAATCAAATTCAAACTCCATTTTTATTTCCAAATGTTGCAACTTAAATTGTAGATATTAGAAGAGAAAGGAAAAAAAAGGAGAGAATATCAATTTGTAAAAAGTTACTTTGTCCCATTCACAAATATTTAAGACGCGTACGCTGATAGTGAGTTACATTTTGTGTAAATATATATGGTCGGTTCATATATGATGCCAAGGTTGGATTATATTGCATGTTTACATGTCAATTTGAATATTACGCTTTTTTATATTATTGATTGTAGATACCAAACTACCTAATAGCCTTTCTCCACATCCATATAAACTATTCTCACGGTTACTAATCCATTGGTGTATATCAGCAATTAATTGGTAACAATGTAATTACCATGCCCACAATATTTTTAAATGAGGAGTTTCACACGCGTGACGTTTAACATCTCCATTGCAAGCGCACTAGTAACCTCAACGTAAATATATTTAAACAATCCACAAAAAACCATGATTTTTGAAATTGGTCTCTTCTTCTTCTCTTGAGAAGCCAAGCTCCATAAGTGAACATTAATTCTTGACAAAGAAGAGACCGAGGGGACATGATTTTCATTGGATGGTGAGCGGTGCCTGTTATTGTTTGATGAGCCCAAGAAAGAAAAAACAAAACGCCAAAACCAACAGTGAACAACAAGAGTATATTCAGCTTACGTTTTTAAGTTGATATATATATATATATATATATATATATATATATATATATATATATATATATATATATCATATTGATAATTACGATATTTATTTAATAATTAATAGTACCATTAATTTAATACATTCAAATCATACATACAAATTTAATTATAATATTAAATTCAAGCTACTGTATTACAGAGTTGTTGCATTTATTAAGGCCTCTTGGACTTTTGAATCCTTGCTAAGATTCGTTTATTTGTTACAAGAATGGGACAGAACCCGTAGTTTCTTTATGTTCAAACGATGGCCGATAGGATTAGTACTATGTCTGCGGGTGTTCTATGCCACATTCTTTCTTTTCTACCAACCAAAGAAGCTGTTGCAACAAGTGTTCTTTCTAAGATGTGGAACCCTTTGTGGCGCTCAGTACCAACTCTAGACTTCGATCTTGACTACAACAACGAAAGCAAAGAGAAGTATTACCGTTTTGTTCAATCTCTATACGAAGTTATTCTTTCACGAGATTCGAATCAACCAATCCAAACATTCCGCATCAAGTGTGGGACTTCACATTGTGAGCAAAGTAATGTCAACGTATGGGTTAATGCTGCACTACAACGCAATGTTGAGCACCTCGATATCCTTCTGTCTTGCAATTTGAATATCAACTTGCCTTCCGCCATTTTTAGACATAGAACCCTCGTTGTTCTCAAGTTGAATGGAATAGCACTCAAAGCTACTTCATCGGTTGATTTACCCTCACTCAAAATCCTGCATTTGGACCTCGTTATGTTTTTAGAAAGAAGATATTTCGCTGAACTTCTTTCTGGGTGTCCACTTCTTGAGGATTTGGTAGCAAAGAATTTCATGTTTGATAATCGTTACCCGACATCTTTAACTGATAGAGAGTTTAAAGGATATCCAAGTTGGTCAGAGCAGATATTCATAAACGTTTTGCTCCGCTTGAAAACCTTAATAATGTAGAGTTTTTGCGCATTGATAAGGTTCTAAGTCAAATTTATGCATAATAACTTTTCATTTTTTTGGGAAATGGTACAACATTTTGCTATTTTATCTCTTGCAGGGTTATGATCCTATTAATTTTGTGTTTGATGAACATGAGATGGATAGGGGGATTGGCGATGATCCGAACCCTTATGCCAAAGATAATATATCAGTGTTTCACAATTTAGTTCATATTGAACTCACCTACTTTCATTATACTATGAATTGGCTTGATGTGATAGAATTGCTCAACCATTGCCCCAAGCTTCAAATTCTTTTTATTGATCAGGTTTGTTACGTTTCTTTAATTTAATCCTTCTAGAAAGTTTGATATCTCAAACTCGAAATGATACAAACTTGTTTTAAAAAAACACAGGTCTTTTAAAGAAAATTTTCTTTTTTTTAGTAAAAAAAAGAGAAATATTTTTCTCATATGAAAAAACTTATCTCTGTGTTAAATGAGAAAACTTATGTCTGTGTTCCACACTCATCGAAATTTGAATTAGTATTTTTTTTTCCTTTTTTCTAGTTGTGAGACCTACCTAATTATGTCTCTACATAAGTCAATGTTATCTCATGTAATATGAAAAAAACATTACATTGCCCATAAATAAAACTTTATAATATTTTCTGATTTCATGTCTGTTGTGAACATGGTTTTCACTACGTTATTTATTAGTATGTTTCTTTCTTTAAGAATGATTGGTGTTCCTTTTTTTTATGTATAATGTTTTGTTTGTGGTGACGTATAATGATGTTTTCTTGTTCATTTCATCTCACGTCTATTGTTAATAGGATTTCCGCTTCGTTGATGATTATAAAGAGCTAGATTGGCAATACCCACTTTCTGGTGTTCCTGAATGTATTTCATTGCATCTTAAAACATGCCATCTTAATGATTACAAAGGCTCAAAAGGTGAAGTTCGATTTGCAAGATATGTGATGCGAAATGCAAGTATGTTACGTACCATGAAAATCTTTGTTAGAGCTGAAATAATTCGAGAAGATAAGCTCAACGAGTTCGAGATGCTAAAAGAGTTATCCTCATGCTCAAGGTGTTCTCCAACTTGTGAACTTTCATTTGAAATAATATCGGACAGATTTGAATTGTACATGTAGGGACAAAGTATTTCTTGGATGTCCGCCCTTATATTTGTGGTAAGAATGTGGAACTTGTTTGAGTTTTCAAATTAGCTGATCTGTTTGTTTGTTTTTAACTTTTTTTCTTCTGAGGGATGTAACTGGAGTTGCAGTGTACCCATTTTGTGGCAATTATATGTTAAATTCTGATCTTTTGCATAAGCACAAGGATAAGTTTTGAATTGTAATTTAGTGTTTATCATGTTAGTTTTTATTTTTATTTTTATTTTTCTCTTACGATCATGAGCACACACTTTTATTATTTTTTTTGATAGCATTAACTTTTTGATTGTGGTGTACGTAGTTTAAAACAAATTTGGGTAGAAATTAGTTTCTTACTAAGTATTCAGATTTCTAAAATGAGGATAATTAATATTACAAGCTCGTGTCTTATAGTAGGCTTGTTTGATGCATGGTTCGACACTGGAAAGTTTATTGTGAAAAGAAGTAATAGTTATCAGTATTTTACAAGTATTTTACAAGTATTTTACAACTATCAGTGAATTACCCGTGCGATGCCCCGGAGAAAAAGAACAAAATATTTGTCGTCCGTCGTGGTTTGTTAATCGCACTACAAATCTTATAGTTACAAAAACCTGTGTTGTTATCTTGTTCTATATTTCAGATAAAAAAAACTACAGCAATGACACAAAACTTTGCAAATGTCAACCATAACCAAAAATCTGCTATCCAGAGTGATCAATATTATGCAAATCAAATATAGTTATCTACTCGATGAGTTATGTAAAAAACAAATACGTCATAGTAGACTATGTTAAAATGAGGATGGCTAAAAAAAGAAAAATGCATACAACTTATTGCTAACTATAACAGCACTAATAAAATCAAGATAAAAAACAGACCAAGCAAATATGGAATTAAAAAATCAGTGTCACTCTGCAGCAATCATTGGACAGATGAGTTCACATATCAAACATGTGATTTTCTATGTTTATCCATTACCAGGGACATCCTCTTCTACCATCATATTTATGCTTACGATACAAAATGCAAATGCTCATTAAATAAATTACGCTAATATGTTAACACCCAGAAGTAATAATCTCAACAAAAAAAATGGTTGTTTTTTTAGAACCCAAAAAAGCGTTTTCTTAGAGGGATTTGAAAGCAAATTAACCAAATGTATAAGTCATATTTTTTTGCTTACATTGGAACAAATGTGTCTAAACAGCATCAAATCAATACGCATCCTAAAAACTTGTAACAATATAAAGAACCCACAATGATAAATTTGTAAAAAACAACAACATACATTTAGGTCCACCAAAGACTTAAAGAATGAGGTGATAATAGCTTCGTTGCTTCAAACACTTGAAACTTGATATCTTAACTCATTATATGACTCCAAATTATTTTTTTTACGTTGACCTTAAATAACATGGATTTTTCATTAAGAACGTTAAGTTTTCTTGGATAATGTTCCAAATCAGCACCCTACACAAAAAAAACTCGTTCAAAATTAAGTATAACTCATGCGATGCACGGGAAAAAAGAAATATGTTTGTTTGTCTCGTAAAAGTTAATGCAAATCATAAAAATATATCTCTGTATTTTATTTAAATCAATATTCTTAGCTACCTAACTCCAACTTTTTGTACATATAGAGTTGGCAAATTTTTGAGTTATTATGTTTAATATAAAAGAAGAAGAGCAAAATTTTAATTTAATTACAAAAAAATATAGGTGGGCCAGTTCTCCGGACTGACTTCACTTTGCAACCTCTAATTATCAACATTATATACATACCAGCATGTAATAAATTTTTATATTTATCTACACGAAAAAGTTCTTATATTTGCATCTAAGTTTTTTTATTTTATCTCAGAGATGGACTTTCGTTTATTACAATCAGATTTAAAAAATAATAATAAATAATTATTTTTGCAAGGATTTGTGTCGTTTGTATTTGAAATTTTACAAATTTGTATTTACAAAAATTAAAATAAGATTTAGAAATTTAATTATAAAAGAAGAATGATGAAATCTTAACTTAATTATAAAAATATTTGGTAGGCCGGCCCTCCGGGCCGAGACCAGTTTGCCACCTATAACTATTAGCGTGTAATAAGTTTTTATATTTATTCACAAAAAAGGCTCTTATAATTGCGTCTAGGATTTTATATTTTATCTCAGAGATGAACTTTCATTTATTACAATTAGATTTACAAAATAATAATAAATAATTATTTTTTTGTAAGGATTTGTGTAGTTAGTATTTGGAATTTTATAAATTTATATTTACAAAAATTGAAATCTGAATTAGGAATTTAATTATAAAAGAAGAATAGTAGAATTTTAATTTCATTATTAAAATGTGTTGGCAGGCGGGGCGTGCAGGCCCTTTAGGCCAAGCCCAATTTGCAACCTTTAACTATCAGCGTTTTATGTAAATAATTATTTTTTTGCAAGGATTTGTGTCATTAGTATTTTGAATTTTACAAATTTATATTTACAAAAATTAAAATCAGATTTAGGAATTTAATTATAAAAGAAGAAGGATAACACTTTAATTTAATTATACAAATGTGTTGGTGGGCCGGCCTTTCGAGCCCGAGCCCAATTTGTCACCTCTAACTATCAGCATGCAATAGATTTTTATATTTATCTACAAAAAAAAATTTTATCGTCACATTTAGATTTTTATATTTTATCTCAGAGATAGACTTTCATTTATTACAATCAGATTATATATATTAAGATTATATATATCGTCAGCAAAGTTTCCAATGGTGGGTTTAAGATTATATATATTAAGATGTTACTCATGACACAAATTTTTCATGTTGTTAGTCAATACTCCACGTAAATTGTTAAAATTAAATTAAGTTCTTATGTACGCCCATATTTCTTCTATTCTTATTTTAATAATAGGTATAATGAAATCATTTAAATTGTGGAATCTTTTTTTAAGGTTAAATTGTGAAATATTAGGGGACAAAATGAAATATATATTGTATAGAAGGATGTTTTAATCGCATATAAGAATTTGTTTTATATTTTCTATATACTAGAGTTTGTTACAAGTAGGTAAAAGAATAAAAAAAAATTGCTAATTCATTTAAAAGAACTGATTTTTTAAAAAACAGTTCTTGAATGAAATTGATTTTGAAAAATAAATTCTTGAACTAAACTGTTTTTTGAAAAATCAGTTCATGAACTAAGTTGATTTTCAATACCAATTTAAGAAATAATTGGTCTAAAAATCCATGAATTGAATTTTTTTTCTCTCTCTATTTTTTCTCTTATTATTATTATTATTATTATTATTTTGGTAAATATTTTTCTCTTATTTACTTATTTATTTAGTTTCTTCTTTTTCTTTATTTTTATTTCTTTATTTCTTTATTTTTTCTTTTTCTATCTTCTTTTTATTTTTAGTTTATTATCGCTTTTTATTTTTTAATATCATCAATATTTTTAATTTTTCCTCATACTTTTTATTTGGATTTAGAAATAGTTCAAAAATCAGTTTTCCGGATGTGTAAAATAGTCATAAAAAGCACTACTAGAAAATTCACAATCAGCGAGGAAAAAATTCTCTTACAAAACAGCAAAATTCCCTTGCAAAAACTGTATACGACGGAATTTGCGAGGGAACAGGTGCCTCGCTAAAACCCTCCTCGCAAATAGACTTGCAAGGGAAATTTGTCATATGACAATTCCCTCGCAAATTGCTACGGAAAAGTTCCTTTGCAAAAAAGTAAATTTCCCTCACGAACAACAGACCTATCTACAGTGTTTTTCCGTCGCAGATTGCGACAGAAATTTCGAGTATAATTTTCCTCGCAAATTTTCGTGGCATAATTTGCAAGGGCTATATTAAATTTTCGTGGCGCATTGGTGAGTCCAAACGGGATCACCAAATACTCAAAGTGACCGTATCTCGAACGAAACGCGATCTTAGGGACATCCTCCGACTTCACCCGAATTTGATGGTATCCGGACCGGAGATCAATCATGGAATACACACAAGCACTCCTGAGCTGATCGAACAGATCATCAATCTGAGGAAGGGGATACTTGTTCTTGATCGTCACCTTGTTCAACTGCCTGTAGTCGGTGTACAATCGCATTGTCCCGTCCTTCTTCTTGACAAATATGACCGGTCCTCCCCAAGGAGACACGCTCGTCCGAATGAAATCTTTCGCCGAAAGATCCTCAATATGCTTCTTCAGCTCAGCCAACTCCGGTGGCGACGTCCGATATGGAGCTAAAAAAATCGGCCCCACACCAGGTAACAAATCAATGGAGAACTTTATCTCCCGCTGTGGGGGAAACTCAGGAATCTCCTCAAGAAACACCTCGAGGAACTCCCTCACCACAAGAATGCCAGTGATATCCTCCTGTGTCCCACTCACCAAACCTCCCAACATGACATAACCAAATGCCCCTGCTCTCAAGGCCTTTCTAGCCTGCAACAATGAAATATATGGCGAGGAACTAGCTGTGGAATCACACGGAGACATCACCACGCGCTTTGCACATCAATCAATCAGTGCACAATTTCTAGAACACCAATCCATGCCCAGAATAATCTCCAAGTTGGCCATCGGCAATCCTATCAGATCCACTGAGAACTCACGGCCGTCCCACTGAAACGCTACATCGCGATGTACAGTGGTAGAATCACATGTTTCTCCAGTGGCGGTAGTCACCCGCAACGATGGAGAAAGCACAGATATGGGCAACTCAAGCCCCAAAATAATCGGGGTAGCAACAAACGAATGTGTAGCCCCAGAATCAAACAATGCATCAACAGCAAAACCACCAATAGGCACAGTACCTCTAACAAGGTTCGGAGCGCGGTCCGACTGCTGCCTATCCAAGGTGTACACACGCCCAACAGAAGGTGGCACCGCAGGTGCCGAAGTAGAAGCCATCGGAACCATCTGCAAAGGAACTGCCTGAACAGCCGCAACTCTCGCTGTCGACGACGGACAATCTCTAGAGAAGTGGCCCTCCTTGCCACACTGGAAACAGATCAACTGACCCGAAGCACAACGACCAACATGCTCCTTTCCGCACGCCGCACATCTCGGAGTGGATGGAGGCCTAGCTGAACTCCCCTGCTGTGAAGCAGCCCTCTTGAATTGACCAGGCGCCTGCCTAGTCGCCGACTGTTACCTTTGCCCTTCCCAGCAAACTTCCTGTCCTTCCAAGAAGTAGGAGCATGAGTGGAACTAACAGTCCCCTTGGTCTCGTCGACTTTGACCCTGTTGGCCTTGCTCGCAATGCAGACATCCTCAATGTCCTTACACTGCTGAACCAGTGTACCAAAATCGCTCGAAGCAGCTCTAGCAATATGCTCAGCAATCACCTCACTAAGTCCTCTGCGAAACTTAGCAGCCAGAAACATCGGAGTAGGAGGAACCATCCAGAAGTGCGCAAACTTCACAAGTTCATTAAACTTGGCCAGGTACTCATCAACAGACATCGAGCCCTGAACCAATCTATCAGATTCCCCCTGCTTCCTCTCCTGCGCATCGTAGGGAAAATACTTGCCCAAAATGCATTCCTCGAAGAATGGCCACGTCATGACATGACCCTGCATCTCATAAGCACGAGAGGTGTTCGTCCACCACTCATGGGCATCGCCCTCCAGCATGTAAGTCGAGAACATCAGCTTCTGCGGGTCTGTACACTGCATGACCCGGAATATCTTGTCCAGCGCCTGTAGCCATCTCGCCGCAACAATAGGATCCAAAGACCTATCAAACACAGGTGGCTTATGCTTCCTGAAAGCATTCAGGCGACGATCAATCACATCACGATCTTCAGCAGGCTCCATAAAGGTCTTCATCGTCTCGGCGACATGAGTAGCACTGCCAATGTGACTCAGGCTCTCATCCTGAACACTAGGTGGAGGCGGCGGCGGCGGTGGCGGTGGAAACTAACCTACAGCAGGACCAGCCCTCATATCCTCCAACATGACTCTCATCATCGTCATGTTCGCCATCCTGTTCGGCTCGAGGACATCCTCAGTGGTCCTCCGGTTCGCTTCACGAACCTATTCTGCGGCTATCCTGTTCTCCTCGCGAACAACGTCCATCATTGCCGCATTGGCCAATCTAGTGACCTCCTGATCGACTAACCTAGCCGCCTGCATCTCAGCCAATGCAGTCAGGATAGGATCGGGTTGATCCTCAGAAGTCTCTCGTGTTCTCCCGGACCTTTCCATGACTCTGCACAAGTTACACAAATTATGAGTTGATCAGGCCCACACAATGTGATCACATATGCAGTATCATAATAAAATTCGACGAAGTATACACACAAGACAGACGCAACCAAACATCCTAGCTATTGCAATACATACATGCTTTTTCCTCGAACCATTGCAAGTGGTATCAGAGCAGGCCTCTCTTCCAGTACGGTGTGGTTCGAGGACGAACCAGGTGGAAGCTGGTGGGCATGTAACATCCTGAGCGCTGACGAGGGCGGGGAGTGATCGCCGGTGCGAAAGGGCATGGACAAGGAGCGGCTCCTGACAGGCTTCCATCGGGGGGTTACATGCATGAATGAATCGAATCGACACCCGAAAGAGAGGGATTCCAAAGACTGTGCAGGTATGAGACTGCACAGTTTGAGATAGTTTATAAGAATTAATTGGTATTACCTATACTAACAAGATGCATATACTTTTCGGTAGCTCAGAACGGAAGAACTCCATAGTTATGCGTGCTTGACTTGGGGCAATTCTGGGATGGGTGACCTCCTGGGAAGTTTTCTCGGGAAGTGTGCGAGTGAGAAAAAAGCACACTGAAAAGTCTCGTGCTAGTATGTGGGGATAGTCATTGATTCTTGAAGTGGCCGGGCGTTACACAGCGCAAACAACTGATATTTGGCAGCAGCAAAAAAAGAAAAAAATCAGAAGCAACAATGTCGTCCCACGTTCGCATAGAATATAGAGAAGCAGATGTATTTTTTAAATGTTTTTAACCAATCCAATGCAGAAAGTAACTCAACATTAATTGAGTTGCATGCCACAATTCAGAATTCAAAATCAAATTTTAAATTTCAATTTAAAATTCAAACTCAAATTTCGAAATTCACATTAACAATAATTTGTAGAAAGTAGAGGTACATTAAATGTTTTGTCTGCCACCAACCATTTATAACAAATTTTGACCATTGATGTAAACTAAGAAATCTTGTCCATCGATTTGCTCTTGGAAAATTGATTTTGTTTTATATTTATTTTATTCACTGATTTACCAAAAAAGTAAAGGTTTTTAAAATCTTATAGTATGAACACAAAGGTGAAAGTGAATGAGAAAGCGACACATCAACAGACTTACCAAAGAATGAGTTTCTCTTAGAATATAAGATGTTGAAGGAATAAGAATATAATTATCCTAACTATAATAATATCTTAAAACATTGAGTTTCACATGTTGGAAGCAAAGGATTTGTATTTTGATAATAGTTACCAGAGATCTTCAACTCACAGAGAGTTTAAAAGGCTGCCCAAGTTAATTAGAGCTGATATTTCTAAACGTTATATTCCGTTCCTAATAGTTAGTAATGTAGAGTTTTTGAGCATTGATAAGGTACTGAAAATCAGATTTATGTAGAATCAGTTTTCACTTTTTAAGGGAAATTGTATTTCTGATATTTTGCTATTTTTATCTCATGCAGGGATATGATGTGGATGATGTGATTGCTGACCAACAGATGGATACGGAGAATGGCGATGACCCAAACCCTTAGGGTGTGTTTGGTATGCAGATTATTTGTGTTTGCCTGGGATAGGGAGATCGGCAACATGGTTTACCCATGTTTGGTTGCAAATAAAGCGCAAGTTTGCCGGATATGTCATTGTCCCATTTTTTTGTTTTTTGTGTGATTAAATGGGAAAGTGAGGAGAGAAGTTGTCCATCCAAAATATAGGATTCACTGTTACCCCGTGAAGTGAATCCTTGAGCGCGAAAATGATTACCAAAATAACCCCACTATTGTACGGAAAGATTAGATGGTGGATTGACAATACATATGGTGGAGTGCACCTTTCGTGGAAAAAGGAGAAAGGCAATTTGTGGTAAGCAATTTCTCCCTCCATTTTCTGTTGTCCTAGCTGAGTTCTTCCTTGCATGTGAGTGATTTCTCTCGTATTTGTGTTGGCCTTTTGATTTTATTTGTTTTTGCATGTGCATCTTGTATTTTGTTTAAGCTGGGTTTAGTGGTTGTGATATATTCGAAACCCATAACTGAGCTGCATTTTGCATTTTGCTATTTATGACTGACTTGTTTCATTGGTTTGCTCACTGATCCCTTCTTTCATGTTCCGAAGTAGGAGCGGTAGAAGGTGTTGAGGTATTTGTTTGCTTTCTCCACGAAGGACTCGCAAGTGAGATAACTGAGGTAAAATAATGACACTTCCAATTTGACTACAATGACCAGAATCGTGTGAGGATAAATTTTTTTTGGAACGCTATGTGGGTTGTGGTTGGAAATATATAGTTTTTTAGAAATGTATGTTTTGTGATACTCCTCTGTTGTTGTCAATGGGTTGCTACTGTTCCAATCTGTATGTCCAGTCCAACCATTAAGCGTGAAATGGTTTTCTTTTACCACGTTCACTATGAGTACAAAACTCTTTCAACCCTCTGTTCTTTCAACCCACTGTTTTAACTCCCAACCCTCTCTTGGCAAAGCTCTGAATGAGTTAGGAGGTTGGAGCGGGTAAGTTGATGGTATCAGATGCCGTTGACACCCTTCTACCTTTCCTTCCTTTTAATAAGTAACTAAGAAAAATTGACCTTGTAATAAGTAACTTACATTCACTTGTCTCAAGATATGCTAATGTTCCATGGAGGGATTATTATGCAAAGATAGAGATTAATATTTAACATATTGAATATCTTGGATAATAATGTATATGCTATTGAAGATTCTGAATGAGTGATCAAAGTACATATAGAAATTTCAGATACTGAATGCAGAAGGTCTTTGGTTATTATCCCAAATTATTAAGTGACTTGGATTCTTTTAATGGAATATTTTATGAGACCACCAAATATGTGTATTCTTACACGGACATCTAAGATACAGTTATTGGATAAAATGACTCATAAAAATTACCAAGATTATAGCAGGTCCAAACTAGCTTGGAAACTTGGGAGTGTTACCATGGCTACTACATCTCTAGCTGAAATGGCAATTATATCAGCACAAGAAACAGTGCGTGGGCAAGCCAATTAGCTTTAGCATCATCAATCACATAGAACGATAAACTGAGATATTAGTAGGGTCATCTTTCTATGCTTGGTTAGTGGCACTTGAGTTCAGCAATATTGATGCATCACATCCCACTTCATTGAACATTAATCATAAAATACAGATGATTACACACCCATTGGCCATCAAAATACTTAACCATCATGAACATTGTGTGTATGTGTGTGTTTTTGAGATTGAGAGATCATACCCTTATGAAACAGTCATGGATAGGCATTGAGTTACATTCTATACATATAAAACAGAGAAAGGTATGTCTTCCTTTATGATGTACCTGTAGAAGACCATTTATACTGCTGTAATAGTTATTTGACCACTACAAGGTGAAATAGTTATCTGTACCTGTAGGATATATATTAAATTGAAGTGTTGTATTAAAATCAGCATGGAGTGGAAGAGTAAAGCCATTTTTATTAATTGCATGGAGTGTGGAGGCTGATTGTTATGGTTTTTTGAACCCTGAAGTTGAGTTTCTAAAATTGATGATATCTAGGTGGAGTTTTTGTATCATACATTAAGCATTGTAGAGTTTAATAGTACCATTCAGTAATGACCAGTCTGTGTGGTTTAGAACCTTATGCCCTCTAATTCTTGTATTATTCATTGTGTTCTTATACTTTTACTTCGTTCATCATTATTGGATTAATGTTAATTACTTTAACGTTGTTGTGTTAGATTGAGGCAATGACCAAAGCAATGGAGTTGAGTCTCGTTATTGTTATCCTTTGTCATTTGCAATCTTTGAATCATCTCACTATGTTATTAGTGAGAATTTATGGTATTTTATTAGCTGATATGGAAAGAAGGAAAAGATCAAGGAGGAAAGTTAAGTGGGATTGTTGTAGTAGGGCTCCGACCAGGGAAATTAATATGCATAGAATAGTCTATATTATTGACACTGCTTGTATTGAAAATACAAGGATGGATAGGAGATGCTTTCATAATTTGTGTGACTTATTGAAAACTGTTGGGATGCTTCAACCAACAAGACACATGGGGGTAGAAGAGCAAGTTGCAATCTTCCTTCACATATTGGCTCATGACATTAAAAATTGCATAATTAAAAGACATTTTATGAGGTCAGGTGAAACAATTAGTAGACAATTCAGCAAGGTGTTGCAGGCTGTGTTAAGGTGTCATAGTGTACTACTTAAACGCCCTGAACCCGTTCTTGAAAACTCAACTGATGACAAATGGAAGTGGTTCAAGGTATGGGTTTCAAAAGACAAATGTCTTGATGTCTAGTACAAAATAGAATTTGTCAAATATATTGTCTTGTCTTCTAATTGGCTGTCGTTGTTTTTTAGAATTGTCTCGGAGCTCTGGATGAGACGTACATCAAGGTGAATCCCCTACAAGATGATAAGCCAAGATACCGCACTAGGAAGGGTGATGTTGTGACGAACGTCTTGGGTGTTTGTTCGCAGGATTGCCAATTTATTTATGTTTTGCCCGGATGGGAGGGTTCAGCAGCAGATTCAAAGGTTCTCAGAAACGCTATCTCTCGTCCAAATGGATTAAGGGTACCTAAAGGTAAATTTGGTAATTTGAAGTCGTGCCTAACTGCCCTGTACATATCTTTGCGTAGTAAATTCTATAGTGACGAGTTAGCTCACGAAGTGGTCATTACTGTCGTAGGTTACTATTATTTGGCTGATGCTGGTTATATGAATGAGGAAGGTTTCCTTACACCTTATAGAGGGACAAGATACCATCTTAATGAGTGGAGACATGGCGCACAGCCAACGACACCGCAAGAATTTTTTAACATGAAACACTCGAGTGCTAGGAATATGATTGAAAGATGTTTTGGGTTGTTGAAGGGGCGTTGGGCCATCGTAAGGTCTAAGTCCTTTTACCCGGTCAAAACACAAACCAGGATTATCACTGCATGTTGTTTGCTTCATAATCATATAAGGAAGGAAATGCCTATTGACCCATTGGAGGATAATACAGTAGACACTGCAGTGGCTGAAGACAACTTTGAAGGACATGAAATGATAATGCATGTTGAGTCATCCAATGCATAGACAAGGTGGAGGGATGAATTGGCACAACAAATGTTTGACACGTGGAGGAATTGAAGTTGACTGATTCGTCTTGTTGTCATTTATAATGTATTTGAAGAGAATGGCACAATTATATGGTTGTAGTAAAAAATTTTGTTAAAGCCCGACCATTTGGTTGTACTAAGTTTGATTTCAGAACAATTATGTGGTTGTATTATGCATTCTGTTTTTTCACCTAATCTGTCTTCAACGTTTAATGTTTATTTTTATTGTCCAAAATATTATGTCTATAACTTGTTGCAGATGGCTGAAAAGGATAGTCAATCGTCGAAACGGATTAACCATACTTGGACAATCGAAGAAGACAGGATCCTTGTGGAATGCCTTGTTGACTCTGGTTTACATTGGAAAGGTGACAATGGTTTCAAGGCTGGCTTCCCTAATCACTTAGAGAAGCTGATGGCTGAGAAAATTCCTGGATGCACATTGAAGGGCACACCCCATATTACTTCTAGGATCAAGCTGCTTAAAAGGCATTACAATGCCATTGCTGAAATGATGGGGCCGAATGGAGGAGGTGGTTTTGGGTGGAATAATAGGGACAAAATGATTGATGTGGAGAAGAACATTTTCATGGACTGGGTTAAGGTAAAGGATAGTATCTCAGTAATTACAATATATTTCTTGTTTATGTCTTTTATGTTTTAATTATATATTTATTGTTTAACCTGTCTCTCAATGTTATCCTTGCAGCATCATCCAAATGCAAATGGTCTTTACAAAAAACCCTTCCCACACTATGATGCTTTAGGACCAATTTTTGGGAAGGACATGGCTAATGGAGAGCATGCTGAGGGTCCAGAGGATGCTGTTGAAGCAATGGACAATGAAGCATATGGAGTTGGTCAAAGTGGGATTGCTATGGATGACATTTATAATGTATTTGAAGAGAATGGCACAAACCCGCATTGGTCACCACCACTATCCGAAACAAATGACCAAGAAACCACTCAGACTTCGCCTGCTTCAATCTGTGTTGCAAAAAAAGGCAAGAAGAGAGGGAGGAGTGATGAAGCTTTGGCTAGTGAGGTATCCTTTGCAATTAAGGATCTTGGTAAGGATTATAAAAGCACCAATGACAAAATAGAAAGTTTGATTAATTGCTTTGAAAATCAAACTGAGGGTACTAGCAAAAAAACATCAGTTGTACACGAATTGAAAAAATTTGAGGTGCTTACAGTTGAACAGAGGGTAAACCTTGCAATGATAATACACAAGGATCCCACCATCATGGAAATTTTTCTGGAAGAAGGTGAGGAAGAAAGACAGTTTGTGGTGGCATCTTTACTTAGTAAATGTTAAGCTAGTGTGCAGTTAACTTTTTGGATACCTCCTGATTATATGGGGTCGTTTTGAATCATTATGTGTGATGCAAATTTATAATATGATGTAACCTTTTTGGAAGTCAGTCACAACAACAGTATGATATGCTGCCAACCCAAGACTAGTACAGAGGCAACATGAAATATGTTTTTTGGAGATACACAATCCCAATTAAGTCAGATGTATGGAAATCTGGTAAAGCATATGGATACCAGGTCTGTTTTTATTCAATTAAAAAAGGCATTGGATTGGGTTTTAGGATACCTGTTATGTTGAGAATACAATGATTTATTGATGTTGATAATGCATGGTAAATTTTGTTGCAGGGAACATGGACTGTAGGGTGATATGGTGATCCATTTTTTTTGATGGCTGCCCTATTACAGCTGAATCAGGCAAATTTTATATACAAAGTTGAAGTTCATCAACACTCAGTTGAGTTCAAAGGACATATACATATGAAGACCTGCTTCCTTGTATAATTGTCAGAAATGATATATCAATTACAATGTAAAATCATATGACTTCTACATTTATATGTCCTGAAGTACTCATTTGAGTTAGACATGTAGGATAGGCTCAAGGGTACATAAAGTCGTTTTTTAACCATTTCATGTGCTTGTAATGTCAAATTCTGTTTCACCAATGTCCTTGGGTTAGCAAAGATTTGCTGTTATATGTAAGTAACATTATTCTGTTGCACTTGACTGTATCACCAATGTTTAACCAAATTCTGTTACGATTCCAGACATTAATTACAATTCTAATATTTATGCTTATCTTTACACAAACTCTTTGGAATCCATGTGTTTGCTTTGTATGTTTGATGGGTGCAGACTAGTTTCAAAGGGTTGGTACTTTTGTTGATTTATCTTAATGAATGGATGATCATTATCAGTAATTTGTTTCTAGTGCCTTTTTTCCTCGTGATCATGATATTTCTGCCCTGTACATATGAATGCAGTCAACTGATTGTCTAAGAAGTTATAGTATCATTCTTTATTCAAATTCACTAAAAGCCTCACTGCAAAGTGCATTGAGTGTTATTGGCTAACTTTATTTAAATTGGGTGATTATCTGTGATATAGTATGAAGACCTACCTGACTTCCATGATCCATTCAAGCACGATCTGAATATGCTTTTTGGCCAAGTTAACATTTGAAAATTTGAAACTCTTCTTTTCTTTTGGAACTCAGAAAATTTGCTGTCATCACAAAAAAAATTTAGTATCTGAGTTTTTATTTTTTGTTAAAGCCAGTCTGCACTGCTCTTTTGCTATACGTATTGTTGATGGACTCATTTAAATTGTCACCATGAGTACAGGTTTTGAAATGAGTATAACACACATGAGCTAATTATGTTAATCCAATTATTCATTAACCAAATCATTAACCAAATTATAATAAGTTATAACACACACGAGTTGAAAGGCAGAGTACTGCATATGGAGTGAGCAAAATACATGTCACTATTATACTGAATGCGCTTAAGGGCAAAAGGTTACAGAATTTTTCTTGTGTAAGCATTACAAATGGAAATAACAAAATACTGGCATTTAATTTAAAATGTCAAATTTACACATGACCTCCAACAGTGTAAATGATTACAACACTAAAACAGATACACAATCCTTCGCACTACAATGGTGGAAAGGCTGCTGAGTCCAGCAATGTACACCTCCTGGCTACTACTGACAGACAGCAATGTGGACCAGAGACCTGTTATCCCATCATGACTATAAGTCCTAAATACTAATCACATGATGCTTTCTCAATCTCCAATGCACCTCCCAGCTATGAGGATATCATCTCACTATGTCTCGGCAGCTCTAATGGAATGGCTCCTTCACATGCTTTTAGCTGATATGGTTCATGAAGCCACTAAGAATTATACTCATCTCAAGGAGGTTTGCAATGGGTCTATTAGAACTTGCTGCAAATGATTAAAGAAAAAAACTGAATCTGGCTTGCTCAACAAGGTCCTCCAGCAACTTCTATTCAAAAAACATTGCAAGAAAATCAAAGAAAAGAAAACGGCCTTTTTGGAGATAGTTTTTACTAACAATGTGCTGCTCTTCATTGCTACAAGTGATGCATTGGTTGTCAGAGGTGATGGGTGAAGGAATTAAAGGCACAAGCTCTTCATGGATGCTGCAAGGTTGACATTCTCGATTCAGTGTTTGCCTTCATCCAAGTTTGATATGTCATGCTAAGCTGTTATGGTAGAACCTAACAAAAGTTCCTTCACATATTTAAATCTGCATCATATGGCAGATATTGGACCTAATCCGTCCAAATATGGAGAAACATGGGTGACAAAATGGTGGCATCAGAAAAATTAAAATTTTCAATCGACAAATGGATCACGAATGATACAAGTTTCAAAATACAAAGTATGACAAAAAATATTGGCACAACAACAGTATGATAACACACACAGACACAGATTACCCACACCATTTGTCTTCTTCATGCTACGTGAAGGAGGATCGATGGCCCCACATCATGAATCTTGTTCATGGTAACTCTGAAGCTACACCCTGCACTTGATGAGAAGGTGACAGACAAACATTTAAGGGACAAGGTGAAGCAAGTTGAAAGATTAAACCAAAAAATTCCATATCAAACGATGTGTATATACTGCACATTCCATAACTTGTGGACAATCTAGGCAGGGGAATAACATACATATTGTCATTTCATAAGTTCACAAAAAGCAGCATACCACATGATTACAATTGAAATACATATTTATAACTTACACACATAACTACTTCTTATATAATACATAGCCTAATACTAAACTTTGAGTAATTAACAAGACAGCCAAAAGCTTCAACAAGGTGTCCTTCTTCATGCAATTGACGCACGTTGGTTCATCAACCCACTCAAAGAAGTTGCACTTCTCATTTGTTGAGAAGTTCGGGCACCCAAGGAACTTCCTACCTGGATTTTTATTAGTCGAAGACCTACGCAAAACAGCCCTCTTACCACACCCACACTTTGTCACCCTCGATGACGATGAAGATGACGAATGACCAGAATAAACACTTTCATACCCCCACTTACCAACCTCATCTACACCCATCTGTCCTTCAACGAAAGAGGCTATCACACCCAAACAATTAATGTTCCCCTGCAACAACAATAACAGAAAAATATGTAAGCCCACATACAACAAAAAAAAAAAATTAAATTGCATCTACATTCCCAATCTTGTCCTACACAATTAGGAAGCAGTAGACATTTCCCCCCCACCCCTACCATGTATTGTTCATTCAATATTTCAAAAACCACAGACAAAGAGTACCAAATTTATAAATTATTTCCGGTACCTACCACTATTTAAAGTTTCAACAACCAAACATGCATAACTACAGATTATCTATATGGGTCATGAGTTACACTTGAAAGTATGTACCCAGGATGTTGCTATATCTCCTCACAAAGATCGAACATGCAAGGTGGAAGGAAAAATAAAAACATTATAATATACCGTGGACAACAAGGTTTTTCATCCTTACCGACAGATATACAAGGTTGTCTCCAACACCTTGCAAAAACTAAACTAAAGTCGAACAGAGGCAGATCAGAGAGGTCATGCGTGAGGAAGTCTTTGTGTGCAGCTCGCTGTCTCCGTCAACGAAGCCCAGAACAATGTCTTCAGGAGGTCTCAACCACCATTACCAGTCGTTCAGAGGCAGATCAAAGAGGTCATGCGTGAGGAAGAAACCGTTGATTTGAACCACTCTCAAATATCAATGGAGTACCTCACACACCACCCACTCCCTAAGATATCTGAGTTGAAAATTGTATAATATTAAATTTGAACGAAAAAGTAAATGGGGGTTATTTTCGTAAAATAACCCCCTTTCCTACTACTATTATATATTCAACCAAACATCAACTCAGTAAAGTTATCAAAATATTTCAGGTAAAATTTTTGTCAACCAAACACATTTTTATAAATTTTCCGGGATAAATTATTTCCAATCACATCCCAGCAAAATTAGTTACCCAATAACAAAAAAATTTCTCTCGTACCAAACGCCCCCTTATGCCAAAGATCTTATCCCAGTGTTTCACAATTTAGTGCATATTGAACTCACCTTTTTTTATTATTCTATGAATTGGCTTGATGTGATAGAAGTCATCAAGCATTGTCCCAAGCTTCAAATTCTTGTTATTGATCAGGTTTTTTTATGTTTAATCCTTTGAGAATGATTTCTATGTTCTCATCTTTTCTTAAAATATGATTATTAATTTCGTCTCATGTCTATTGTGAACAGGATTTTCGCTATATTGCTGATTACTATATTTGTTTAATCCTTTTAAGAATGATTTGTGTTTAATCATTTTATTTCGTGTCTATTTTTAACAGAACTTTTCATACGTTGATGATTACGACAACATAGATTGGCGATATCCACGTTCTGGTGTTCCGAAATGCATTTCATTACATCTTACAACATGCCAGCTTAAAAATTACAGAGGCTCAAAAGGTGAAGTTCGATTTGCAAGATATCTTATGCGAAATGCAAGAATTTTACAAACCATGAAAATTTGTGTTCATGCTGAAAAAATTCGAGAAATTTTGAGAAATTACATAGTGTTTTATATATAAATAAAATTAACCCAATATTTTGAGAAATTTTAGCAATTGTGGAGGTATGATTTTCATTTGTTGCTTTTAATTTAATATCAATAAAATTAACCCAATATTTTGAGAAATTTTTTGACCGCCAAACATATTTCAGTACTACTCCAACTACAAATGACAGTACTACTCCAACTATTGAATCCAGTTTGGACGACTTTATATAGATAGTTAGATACTAAAGTCATAGTTATCAATTATATTTGGGTTGAATATATCCTATAAATTCAGGCCATTTCACCTAGGACTAAAAAGTAAAATTAAACATTAATTAATTATTTTTCATCTATCCTGTCCAAAGTCACTAGACACCTATTATTTTAATTTAAAAACATAAAAAGCAATTTAGAAAACTTACTTGAGTGATAGAGCTCTAAGAGATTAAAATATCAGAAAAAGAATTGAGAGAAGTTATATATATATTCTCACTGTAAATTTTAATTGAAATGGATGGTCTTCAATGACCTCATAAGAAAGCGGCGTTCCCCTAATCTAAACCTCCAAACCAAAGCTGTGACTTATGTTTTGAATCTCTAAAATAATAAAAAATAATTTTATTTAGAAATAAATTTTAATTAAAATGGTAATGATTTAAAATTTTATTACAAAATTGTAATTATGCAATATATATTTGATAACTTCAATTTAAATTCTTTTTTAAACAAGATTTTAAATGATTTAATTGATTTCTTTTCAACTCTATAATTAACTTAATCAAATTCAAACTCCATTTTTTTTTCAAATGTTGCAACTTAAATTGTAGATATTAGAAGAGAAAGGAAAAAAAGGAGAGAATATCAATTTGTAAAAAGTTACTTTGTCCCATTCACAAATTAAGACGCGTACGCCGATAGTGAGTTACATTTTGTGTAAATAAGAGCCTGTTTGAATACTCTTAATTTTAAGTTAGAAGTTATTTATAAGTTAAAATAAAAAAAAACTTAAAAAAAGAAGTTAAAAGCTGTTTGGAAATTACATAAAAATTTTAGCTTAAAAATTATTTAAAAGCACATATTTCAAGAAAATTATATCTTTCTATCTTTATCACTCTTCATTTTTTAAAAAAAGCACACAATTCAAGAAAAATAGATAAGAGCTTAAAAAAAATAGCTTTTTTCAAAACTTGTTTGGCCTAACTTATGCTTATAAGTAGCTTCTAGCTTAAAAAAGAGAAGATCCAAACAGACATTATATATGGTCGGTTCATATACTATATACTATGCCAAGGTTGGATTATATTGCATGTTTACATGTCAATTTGAATATTACGCTTTTTTATATTATTGATTGTAGATACCAAACTACCTAATAGCCTTTCTCCACATCCATATAAACTATTCTCACGGTTACTAATCCATTGGTGTATATCAGCAATTAATTGGTAACAATGTAATTACCATGCCCACAATATTTTTAAATGAGGAGTTTCACACGCGTGACGTTTAACATCTCCATTGCAAGCGCACTAGTAACCTCAACGTAAATATATTTAAACAATCCACAAAAAACCATGATTTTTGAAATTGGTCTCTTCTTCTTCTCTTGAGAAGCCAAGCTCCATAAGTGAACATTAATTCTTGACAAAGAAGAGACCGAGGGGACATGATTTTCATTGGATGGGGAGCGGTGGGTACGTGTTATTGTTTGATGAGCCCAAGAAAGGAAAAACAAAACGCCAAAACCAACATTGAACAACAAGAGTATAGTCAGCTAACGTTTTTAAGTTGATATATCATATTGATAATTACGATATTTATTTAATAATTAATAGTACCATTAATTTAATACATTCAAATCATACATGCAAATTTAATTATAATATTAAATTGAAGCTAGTGTATTACACAGTTGTTGCATTCATTAAGGCCTCTTTGACTTTTGAATCCTTGCTAAGATTCGTTTATTTGTTATAAGAATGGGACAGAACCCATAGTTTCTTTATGTTCAAACCATGGCCGATAGGATTAGTACTATGCCTGCGAGTGTTCTATGCCACATTCTTTCTTTTCTACCAACCAAACAAGTTGTTGCAACAAGTGTTCTATCTAAGAGGTGGAACCCTTTGTGGCGCTCAGTCCCTACGCTAAACTTCGATCTTGACTACAACAACAAAAGCAAAAAGAAGTATTACCGCTTTCTTCAGTCTTTATACGAAGTTATTCTTTCACGAGATTCGAATCAACCAATCCAAACATTCAGCATCAAGTGCGCGACTTCACATTGTGAACAAAGTAATGTCAACGTATGGGTTAATGCTGCGCTCCAACGCAATGTTGAGTACCTCGACCTCCTTCTGTCTTGCACTTCGAATATCAACTTGCCTTCCGCCGTTTTTAGACATAGAACCCTCGCTGTTCTCAAGTTGAGGGGATTAGCACTCAAAGCTACTTCATCAATTGATTTACCCTCACTTAAAATCCTGCATTTGGACCTCGTTAGTTTTTCAGAAAGAAGATATTTGGCTGAACTTCTTTCTGAGTGTCCACTTCTTGAGGATTTGGTATTTAATAATCGTCACCCGACATCTTTAACTGATAGAGTTTAAAAGGCTACCCAAGTTGGTCAGAGCAGATATTCATAAACGTTATGTTCCGATAGTAACACTTAATAATGTAGAGTTTTTGCGCATTGATAAGGTACTAAATCAAATTTATGCATAATAATTTTTTTTTGGAGAATAATTCATTTATAAATATTTTTTTACACTGAGTATGATCCGTTATACATACTTTATTGATTGAAGTATGACCGGTCATATTAAGTGTAGTTTGTAAATAAAAAATGGGTTTTTTTTTTTTATGTTACTTTAGATAACTTTATCTAATGTTCATCTCGTTTTGGGACGGAAATCATGATATTTTTCTAATTTTAATTTATTTCAGGGTTATAATAGTCTTTAACACTCTAATTTTTTAATTTTTCAACCCCAAAACGACGTCGTTTCGATGAACATTATATTATGTTATCTAAAGTAACATCGGAAACTTTTTTCCCATAAAAAATTTATAAATATAACATTTTCCTAACTTCTCATTTTTTGGAAAATGCTATAAGATTTTGCTATTTTATCTCTTGCAGGGTTATCCTGTGAATTTTGTGATTGATGATCAAGAGATGGATAAGGGGATTGGTGATGACCCGAACCCGTATGCCAAAGATGTTATACCAGTATTTCACAATTTAGTCCATATTGAACTCACCTACTTTCATTATACTATGAATTGGTTTGATGTGATAGAATTGCTCAACCATTGCCCCAAGCTTCAAATTCTTGTTATTGATCAGGTTTGCTACGTTACTTTAATTTAATCCTTATAAAAAGTTTGATACCTCAAACTCGAAATGATACAAACTTGTTTTAAAAAAACACAGGTCTCGTTAAAAAAATTTCTTTTATTAAGTACAATAAATAAAAATATCTAATCTTTCATGTCTATTGTGAACATGATTTTCACTACGTTGCTGATTAATATGTTTCATTCTTTAAGAATGATTGGTGTTCCTTTTTTTTTTTTTATAACGTTTTGTTTGTGGTGACGTATAATGATGTTTTCTTATTCATTTCATCGCACCGCTATTGTTAACAGAACTTCAACCTCGATGATTATGAAGAGATAGATTTGCGATACTCAGATTCTATTCCAAAATGCATTTCATTACATCTTAAAACATGTCTTCTGAATAATTACAAAGGCTCAAAAGGTGAAGTTCGATTTGCAAGATATGTGATGCGAAATGCAAGTATTTTACGTACAATTAAAATATTTGTTAGAGCTGGAATAGTTCGAGAAGAGAAGATCAACGAGTTCGAGATGCTAAAAGAGTTATCCTCATGCACAAGGTGTTCACCAACTTGTGAACTTTCATTTGAAATAATATAGGACAGATTGGAATTGATTAGGGACAAAGTATTTCCTTTACTTCAGCCCTTTCATTTGGAGCTGTAAGAATTTTGAACTTGTTTGAGTTTTCAAATTAGCATGTTTTTTTTTTTGTTTTCTTCTGATTAATGTAATTTAGTTGTAGTGTACCCATTTTGTTGCAATTATATGTTAAATTCTGATCTTATAACGACTACTTGGATAATAAGTTTTGAATTGTAAAGTAGTATTTATCATGTTATTTTTATTTTTATTTTCTCACACAAGTATGCTAACACTCAAAAGGAATTTATTATTATTTCTTAATAGTATTATTGCTTTAATTGTGGTGAATGTATCTTAACTAAATTTGGTCAGAAGTATGCTAACACTCAAAATGAATTATAATATATTCATTTTGAATATCATATATGGACTTACGCGTCTTGTCCCTGACTCCGCCATTGATCAGCGAATATACGACCCTATTCATTTTATATATTGTTTTTGAGTTATTAAATAATATTCCGATTATAGTATTGATCGTCTATACTAATGTGTTATGAAATTTGATGAGCAAACGATGCCATGCTTCCTACATATATATATAGACAGATATAATATTTACCAAAAATAAAAGTAGCAATAGGACGTTATTGAAATACTATATTTTATTCGCCTATATAATAATATATATTCAAAGATGTTTATCAGTCTATGGATATTCATTCACATTAGAATATTTTCAACAGTGACCATTAAATTTAGAGATACGTTATTTTACCTATTATTTTTTCTGCCTATCTTTGTCTACCTCTTTAAAAGACCATAGATTAAAATCAATATTTATCTTTCTCTTTTCTCTTTAGATTCTAATCTAACAGGATTAAAGAATAGTAGTAGGCAAAGGTAGGCACAAAAAATAATAAGTAGAATGATCTATCTCTTAAACATATATGTCTTTTCGGTATAAAGTTATAAACTTTCTCCAAAACATTAATATCTTTTTTCCACTTCCGTATAAACTATATGTTCTGACGGTTACTAATCGACCGGTGTATATCAGCAATTAATTGGTATCGGTATAATTACCCTACCCATAATATCTTCAATTATGGAGTTTCACACGCGTGACTTTTAACATCTCCATGGCAAGCATATTTAAACTCCCCTCAAAGAACCATAATTTTTGAAATTGGTCTGTTCTTCTTCTTCTTCTCTTGAGAAATCTCGAAAGCCAAGCTCCATAATTGAAGATTATCGTTTGATTTTGAAATGGATAATGAGCGATGAGTTATTGTTTGATGTGGTTACCTTTGATGATTTTGTTGAATTGATGGATGTAGAACTTGAGACAAGGAAAACGTGTGGTGGTTGTGGTTGAGATAAAATGGAAAACAAAACGCCAAAACCAACATTGAACAACAAATACTCAGATTGATGGTGTAAGTCACCTTTGCATGGCTCGAGGAAAAGGCAGCTTCTCATATTAGCCCAAGGCACTTATAACCTCCTATGTACCCTACTCATCATGACCTAACCTCTTTTAGTTGATAATTAGTCATATTACTAATTATTTTTTAATTAATAATACAATTAACTTAATATATGCATATTTTTTTTAATTATAATATTAAATTCAAGATTGTGTATCCAACAGTTATTGCATGCATATATATATTAAGGCCTCTTTGGGGGGCTTCATAATCAATGGCAAGATTTTCTTATTTGTAAGAGTGGGACAGAACCCATAGTTTCTTAAACGATGGCCGATAGGATTAGCATGTTGCCAGCGTGTGTTCTATGCCACATTCTTTCTTTTCTACCAACAAAACAAGTTGTTTCCACAAGTGTTCTTTCCAAGACTTGGAACCCTCTCTGGCGCTCAGTTTCCACTCTACATTTTGACTTTCAAGGTCGAATGTATAACTGTGATCTAGACAAAGAGAAGTATTCCCGCTTTGTTCAATGGGTGAATGAAGTTATCCTCTCACGAGATTTGCATCAACCTATCCAAACATTCTGCCTCAGGTGTTGTTCTTTTCATTGTGATCCTAAAAATGTCAACATATGGGTTAATGTTGCACTACAACTCAAGAGTTGAGCACCTTGACCTATGTCTGTTTCCAACCACTATTTTGCCTTGTGCCATTTTAAGACATAGAACCCTCATTGTTCTCAAGTTGAATGGATTAGTACTCAAATCTATTTCGTCCGCTGGTTTACCCTCACTTAAAATCCTGCATTTAGAAGAAGTTTGTTTTTTAGAAAGTAAATATCTCGCTGAACTTCTTTCTGGGTGTCCAGTTCTTGAGGATTTGGTAGCGAAAGATATGGAATTTGATAATAGTTATCCGAGATCTTTAACTGATAGAAAGTTTAAAAGCCTACCCAAGTTGGTCAGAGCGGATATTCATAAACGTTATGTTCCGCTAGTAACACTTAATAATGTAGAGTTTTTGCGCATTGATAAGGTACTAAAAATCAAATTTATGTATAATAACTTTCTATTTTCAAGGGAAATGGTATTTCTGATATTTTGTTATTTTATTTCTTGCAGGGGTATGCTGCGAGTTATGTGATTGATGACCAAGATATGGATATGTTTCATGGTGATGACCCGAACCCTTATGCTAAAGATCTTATCCCAATGTTTCACAATTTAGTCCATATTGAACTCACCTACTTTCATTATACTATGAATTGGCTTCATGTGATAGAGATGCTCAACCATTGCCCCAAGCTTCAAATTCTTGATATTGATCAGGTTGTTATGTTTAATCCTTTAAGAATGATTTCTATGTTCTTATATTTTCTTTAAACATGATTATTAATTTTATTTCATGTCTATTGGGAGCAGGATTTTCACTACATTGCTGATTGCTATTTTAATAATTTAAGAATGATTGTTTTTTTTTTTTTTTTTTTTTTTTTTGAGGTATAATGTTTTGATTGTGGTGACGTATAATGATGTTTTCTTTTTCATTTCATTTTGTGTCTATTGTTAACAGGATTTCAGCTTCGTTGATGATTATGAAGAGATAGATTGGCGATACCCACATTCTGATGTTCCTGAATGCATTTCATTACATCTTAAAACATGCACGCTTAATAATTACAAAGGCTCGAAAAGGGAAGTTCGATTTGTAAGATATGTGATGCGAAATGCAAGTATTTTACGAACCATGAAAATCTGTGTTAACGCTGAAAAAATTCGAGATGAGGAGCTCAACATGTTCGAAATGCTTAAAAACTTATCCTCATGCACAAGGTGTTCTCCAACTTGTGAACTTTCATTTGAAATGATATAGGGCAGATGGGAATTGATTAGTGACAAAGTATTTCCTTAATGTCAGCCCTTTCGTTAATTAGGAGCCCTTTCGTTAATTAGGAGCTGTAAGAATGTGGAACTTATTGTAATTCACAGCTCCTGTAATGGTGTTTCTCACAAACACTGAAACACGCAATTCTCTGAATATACCTCTTTAGATTATTGTATCTTTTTCAAACCTTTCAAACCTTATAAGCAATAGCAAATAACTAATCTAGGAACTCTAAACACTACAAGAAAAAAGTTTATTTGTGACGAAAAATTTTGTCATAAATTTTATCACAAATGATAATTTTTGACATAAATAATCAAATTTTGTCACTAATAAACTTGCGACGCAGGAATTTGTGAAAAAATTTACTTGCGACGTAGAAATTTATGACGAAATTTCACAAAATTTTGTCACTAATAAGATTTTTTGTTGTAGTGAAAACACATTAATTGTCCACTAACAAATTCCTAAAGGACACATCTCTTCATAACATAAACCCTTTCATTTTCTATTTTCTTTAATTCAAATAAAGTTTAAACCCAACAAAACTCCCCCTTAAACTTTAATATCTCTACCGTCCTTCATTCCCATCTTCTTCTTGCAATTCTCAAACAACAACGTCGTCAGGGGTTTTGTAAAAATGTCTCCAACTTGATCTCGGCTTGCAACATGATTGAGCTCCACCTTTCCTTCTTTGACCTGATCCCGGATGAAATGGAATTTGACATCAATATGCTTACTTCTTTCATGGTTGACCGGGTTCTTTGCTAACTCGATCGCTGATTTGTTGGCAACTCGGATCTCTGTTGGACCGACTTGCTCTTGCTCCAGCTTGCTCAATAGATTTCTCAGCCAAATTGCATGACAAACACACCAGGAAGCAGCAACGTACTCGGCTTCGCATGTAGATAAAGTCACAATGGGTTCCTTCTTTGACACCCACATGAAAGCCGTGTTTCCCATGAAGAACACATAGCCAGCCGTACTCTTCCTATCATCCACATTTCCACCCCAATCACTATCTGAGTAGCCCACCAGCTTGTACTTGTCCGACTTCGAATAATGAAGTCCTTGCGAGATTGTTCCTTGAACATATCTTAAGATCCTTTTTGCCGCCTTCCAATGAGTATACTTCGTCTCTTCCATAAACTCTTTCGGCATGTTCTTTGTCTTCAACATGGATCGGACCATATCCAGGATAGTCCGGTTCTTTCTCTCAGCTACTCTATTCTGCTGGGGCGAGTACGGTGCGGTCAGGAACCGCCTTATCCCATGTTCTTCACAATACTTCTTGAAAGCTGTTGACACGTACTCTCCACCTCAGTCTGAACGGACCGATTTGATGTACCTCCCAGTACCATTCTCTATCATTACTTTAAAACTCTTAAATGCCTCTAGCACCTCAGATTTTTCCTTCAAAAAATACACTCAAGTCTTTCGACTAAAATCATCAATAAAAGTTACAAAATACTTCTTACCACTGAAGGACCCCGGAGTAATGGGTCCACACCGGTCAGTATGTATCAATTCCAGAGGCTGCCTAGCTCGGTATCTCGTCATCCTTTGGAACGGGCTCCTCGCATTCCCAATACGCAGTCCTCACAAAATTTTCCTCCAGAGTTAATCTTTGGTAGTCCCACTACCATGTTCTTCTTCATCATCTCGGTCAGACCACCGTAATGAAGGTGTCCAAACCGTCGATGCCAAAGAGACATCTTATCCTCCACCTCGGCTTGTAGACAGCCGACCTCCATGCTCCTCAGATTCAGCTTGTACATTCTGTTCTTTTCCATCTGAACTCGGGCTATCAGACGCCCTTGTATATCTTTCAATAGTAGAACTCGGTCTGTCATTAGAACCGAGTAGCCCTTTTCCATCAACTGTCCAACGCTCAGAATATTGCTTTTGAGCTCAGGCATGTAATAAACGTCCCGAATTATACCAACTCGTCCATCTTTATGCAAGAAACAGATCGTACCTCAGCCTTTTACATCAATTTTGGACGCTTCTCCAAAAGAGACATGTCCGGCTTCCACCGTTCTCAACTCTTTGAACAAATGTTTGTAACCACATATGTGATTACTGGCACCAGTATCCAAATACCACTCCGACTCATTCTTTGAACTTGTTACACCATGAACTAGCATAAGAAATCCTCCATCTCTTATTTCTCCTTCTGTAGCGAGGTTTGAGGTCTCGTCAACTCTTCTTTCTTCTCGACAATCCTTAGCGAAATGCCCAACTCGCCCACAGTTGTAGCATCTGTCCGAGTTGCAATCTCTTGCGTAGTGACCATACTTGCCACACTTATGACATTCTACATTATTTTGATTCGACCACCGACCTCTTCCACCTCGACCACGTCCTCTACCTCTCCAGTTTTGCTGACTCGTCTCAGCTCTTTCTTCATGTTTCACCTCCTGATCTCGACCTCGACCACCTCAGCCATTTCCTCGTCCACCTTGTAACACCCTGTATATATCCGGTAATGTTATCATAATATCGTATTAAGCTGCGCTTAATTAAAATGCGGAATTACTTTTTCTTTTCAATTATGATGCCATTAACATTACCAACTTGCTTAATAATCAATTAATAAAACATCGCCTGTATGTAATTGCAATAAAACAGCTAACTGAAATACCTCATAACATAGATAATATAAGTGTGGCTCTAGTCACGGAACTACAACAATGCAGACCAGACCATTTAACAGTTTATACAACTCCAATCTAAAAGTACTAACAAAAGTGTCATGGACAATCCCCATGCTCACTCAAATAAGGCAACATGCCCAACATCAGTCTCAACAACAACATATCATAAATAACGGAAAACATAAACAGCATCACAAATCCAGTCATGCTAACGTAAAACAGTAAAACATAATCAGCTAAGCTCCGGCCTCCTGCCGCCTGAGGCATCAGTACCCATACTACCTGATACTGAAATAAGCATTCCCCAAACGTGGGGTAAGATCTCTAATCTAGAAATCTCAGTAAGTCAGTGAGTCCTCAAGGTTCTTCCACCCCAAGCTCACTTACATGTGCAATATAAGTTCAAAAGCAGTTTATCAATTATCATTTCTAAAACAATGCAATGCAGCAGATAATCATGTCATGTGTGTCAATGCTAATCTACTGGCCAGAGACAGTGCAGGTATACGTCTATCACATACACACCGTGCAAGTACCACTTGCATTCACCCCGGTACACCGTCTTGTATGGCGCTACATACTCAGGCTTCCCGTCAAGATGAAACAACACATGCATATTAAAAGCCATTACATGTAAAGTTCAATCAACATATCAAATATCCAAAAGCATGTACACAACATGCATAAACCATACCCCCATGAGACATGGTGGAACCACAACATGGCTAAACCGAGGACACGAAAGCTTACCTTGCAAGCTAACACCAAAAGGCAAGAGTCCACAGCTCAAAGTCCAAACACAACAGATTCACAATCTGTTATGGACCAACAATACATCAACAACATGCACCACAAGCATACAATATTAAGACAACGCCTTTTCATTACGTTTTCAAGTCTTAAAGCTTCTAACAAAGCCACAAGCCCTTAATCCCATGATTCTGACTTAATCTATTAAATACAGAAGTTCAACTTCATCAAACTAGGGTCCATAAACCCCCAATAGCCTACTGTACACACAGCACAGCTGCTGTTCTGCGAAATCCCAGAATATCCGGATATCTCGCTGTCCATATCCGGATATGCAATATCCGGATATACAGATTCACATATCCGGATATCCAATATCTGGATATCCCAAAACCACGTATCCGGATATCCAATATCCGGATATCAGTTCGACAAATATCTGGATATCTCACGACAGAATGCAGTTTCTGCATTTTCGTGAAGATATCCTAAAAAGGTTCCATTTTTACCGATTTTAAACACCTAATCATGCATTTCTAGATGTGTCAAGCCTCACCCAACAACAAGTTATCATCTTTTAACCTTAACATGCATCAAGCTTTCATTTTTAAGCATTAAACTCATGATTAAAGGTTGAAGATCATACCACAAGCTTAAACTCAGCAAGAATGACCCAAAGAACTCACCAACAACTCTTCCAAGTACTGTTTCTACAGGTACACGAAAATGGACCAACAAGATGAGTCCTTTCCTCACCAAGGAAGCTACTTGGAGCTCAAAACCACTAAGAACAAGATGAATCTCCTCCAAACTCTCCAACTCAGAACCAGAACCTCACAATAAACTCAGAAAGATGACTCTTTTCTGCTCACAAGACTCACACTCAGGTATTTCCCACTCACCCAAGGTGTTTTGGTGAGGAAACTAGAGGAAAATGTGGCAACTTGGTTGAGTTTCCAAGGAAATAAGGCAAGGCATGAAGGAGGCTGGTCAGCAGCTCCAAGGCACCAACTTTCACGTTCAAATGGCTGAGTAGCAGCCTAGGTTAGTGTGCAAAAATTGTATTTATAGGCCATGCCACTTAAACACACAATATTAACTTTAATTGCTACGCTTAACATTTTAATCCCAAACTTTGGATTATGAAACTACATAATTTTCTAAGATTTATCATATTTTTCTTATAATTTTCTGAGCACTTTTCCAGTACGCGCTTTTCCAAGCCAGTACCGGTTTCCAGCACCAGTTCTCATTATCTGGACTTGAAACTCGTTTTAAAAGTCCTACATATTATTCTAGTAATTAACATGCACTTATTATAATTTTCCGGGATACTTTTTCGGCACGCATTATACTGACTAGCAGAACCGGTATCTGCACTTTTCTTCCGAAAAGCGACTTTCAGCATTCTTAATCACTTATTACGATTATTAAGCCTCATAAATAATTATTAGGGTCAATTATGGAATCATTTCCTAATTTTGCATAATTAATTAATTAAATACCTTTATTAACGGAGCGGGTTCTTACATTCACCCCACATTTTTAGGATTTTGACCTCAAAATCAGAAACATACCTGGTCGAAACTCGGGGTACTGCCGGAGAAGCTCGTCCTCACGCTCCCAAGTACACTCCTCAGAAGTCCTTCCGGTCCACTGCACCTTGACCATCGGAATGATCTTGCTCCTCAGCTGCTTCTCGCCACGATCGAGAATCTTTAGTGGACCTACGGGAGTCTTTAAGTTCTCCCGAACTTCCACATCATCCGGCGGCACCACGTGCGAATGATCTGCTATGTACCTCCGAAGCTGAGACACGTGAAACACGTCGTGGATGTTGGCCAGGTTCGGGGGCAAGGCAAGCCGGTAGGCAATAGGTCTTACTCTACCAAGAATCTGGTATGGCCCAATAAAGCGCGGGCTCAGCTTCCTCACTCCGAGTGCCCGTCCAACACCGGTGACAGGTGAAAGTCTCACAAACACGTGCTCACCCTCACTGAACTCCAGTGGTCGATGCTTGACATCGTAGTAGCTCTTCTGACGATTATGCGCCTGCTTCAGCTTTTCCCTGATCATCTGGATCTGCAGGGTGGTATCTTGGACAAAGTCCAAGCCAAACAACTCACGATCCCCAACCTCCGACCAGCAGGTAGGTGTACGACACCTCTTACCGTAGAGCGCCTCGTAGGGTGCCATGCCTAGGCTAGCATGGAAACTGTTGTTATAAGAAAACTCTACCAATGGAAGGTACCTATCCCATGCCGAGCCCTGCTCCAACGTGCAAGCCCGCAACATGTCCTCCAAGGTCTGGGTAGTCCGCTCAGTCTGTCCATCAGTCTGAGGGTGATAGGCGGTACTCAATCTCAACTGCGTACCAAAAGCTCCCTGTAGCGCCTCCCAGAACCGAGATGTGAACTTCGGGTCCCTATCACTGATGATACTCACGGGCACCCCGTGAAGCCTCACAATCTCGCGAACATACAATCTGGCCAACTGCTCTGTAGTGAAGCTCACCTTCACTGGAAGAAAATGGGCAGACTTCGTCAGTCTGTCCACAATGACCCATATCGAGTCACAGCCAACCTGAGTCTTCGGCAGACCCACAACGAAGTCCATGGAAATGCTCTCCCATTTCCACTCTGGAATCTCAAGAGGTTGAAGTTTACCAGACGGCTTCTGGTGTTCAATCTTCACCTTCTGGCAGATCAAACACTTGGACACAAACACAACTATGTCCTTCTTCATTCCCGGCCA